TGGAGTCTGCCAAAAATTGACCCAGAATAAATCCGTCCAAATTGGCACTTAATGGACTTAATCATCGTTGAAGAATAGCCTCAGGCAGAATCTGTGATCTGTCGCCCTAAAAATAAAAAGAAGATGGCCTTTCCTCGCACAAAAAATAAAGAAAATTCCATCCGAAAATAAAGTGCCCCAAATCAGGGGTTAATGGACTTATCTTCCGTGGAGAATAGAATCAATATACTAAATTATTGGCGGAGAATAGCTTCCTCCTGATTCCGTGATCTGCAGCCTCCAGAATCGAAAGAAAATGGCATTTCGGAAAAATCACCCTAAATCTGTGATGGTACCCCTTTGGAATCTGCCAAAAATTAACCCGGAATAAATCCTCCCAAATTGGCGCTTAATGGACATAATCATCGTTGAAGAATAGTTTCAAGCCGAATCCGTGATCTGTAGCCTACCAAATCCAAAGAAAATGTCATTTCGTCGCCCAAAAAATTATGAAAATGCCATCCAAAAATAAATTGGACCAAATCGGTGCTTGATGGACTTATCATCCATGGAGAATAGGATCAATAGACTTCATTATCGATGGAGAATAGCCACGGCCTGATTCTAGTATCTGCAGACTCCAGAATCGAAAGAAAATGACTTTTCAGAAAAACAGCCCGAAATCTGTGATGGTACCCCTTTGGAATATGCCAAAAAATGACCCGGAATAAATCCGCCTAAATCAACGCTTAATGGACATAGTCATAGTTGAAGAATAGCATCAGGCCGAATCCGGGTTCTGTAGCCTTCAAAATGCCATCCGAAAATAAATTGGCCCAAATCGGTGCTTGATGGACTTATCATCCATGGAGAATAGGATCAATAGACTTCATTATCGATGGAGAATAGCCACAGCCTGATTCTAGGATCTGCAGACTCCAGAATCGAAAGAAAATGACTTTTCAGAAAAACAGCCCGAAATCTGTGATGGTAACCCTTTGGAATCTGCCAAAAATTGACCCGGAATAAATCCTCCCAAATCGATGCTTAATGGACATAATCATCGTTAAAGAATAGATTCATGTCGAATCCGTGATTTGTAGCCTTCAAAACCCAAAGAAAATGGCCTTTCATCACCCAAAAAATTACGAAAATGCCATCCGAAAATAAATTGGCCCAAATCGGTGCTTAATGGACTTATCATCCGTGGAGAATAGGATCAATAGACATTATTATCGGTGGAGATTAGCCTCGGCCTAATTCCGTGATCTGCAACCTCCAAAATCGAAAGAAAATGGCATTTCGGAAAAATCGCCCTAAATCTGTGATGGTACCCCTTTGAAATATGCCAAAATTGACTCGGAATAAATCCTCCCAAATCGGCACTTAATGGACATAATCATCGTTGAAGAATAGTTTCAGGCCGAATCCGTGATCTGTAGCCTACCAAATCCAAAGAAAATGTCATTTCGTCGCCCAAAAAAATACGAAAAATACCATCCGAAAATAAATTGGCCCAAATCGGTGCTTAATGGACTTATCATCCATGGAGAATAGGATCAATAGACTTCATTGTCGATGGAGAATAGCCACGGCCTGATTCTAGGATCTGTAGACTCCAGAATCGAAAGAAAATGACATTTCAGAAAAACAGCCCGAAATCTGTGATGGTACACCTTTGGAATATGCCAAAAAATGACCCGGAATAAATCCGCCTAAATCAACGCTTAATGGACATAGTCATAGTTGAAGAATAGCATCAGACCGAATCCGGGTTCTGTAGCCTTCAAAATGCCATCCGAAAATAAATCGGCCCAAATCGGCGCTTAATGGACTTAGTCATAGTTGAAGAATAGCCTTAGGCCGAATCCGTGATCTGTAGCATTCAAAATCCAATAAAAATAGCCTTTCGTCGCCTAAAAATTACAAAAATTCCATCCCAAAATAAATTGTCCCAAATCGGTGCTTAATGGACTTATCATCCGAGGTGAATAGGATCAATATACTTCATTATCGGTGGAGAATAGCCTCGGCCTGATTCCGTGATCTGCAGCCTCCATAATCGAAAGAAAATTGTATTTCGGAATAATCGCCCTAAATCTGTGATGGTACCCATTTGGAATCAGCCTAAAATTGACCCTGATTAAATCCTCCAAAATCGGCGCTTAATGGAGATAATCATCGTTGAAGAATAGCTTCAGGCCGAATCCGCGAACTGTAGCCTTCCAAATCCAAAGGAAATGGCCTTTCGTCGCCAAAAAAATTACGAAAATGCCATCCAAAAATAAATTGGCCCCAATTGGTGCTTAATGGACTTATCATCCGTGGAGAATAGGATCAACAGACTTCATTATCGGTGGAGAATAGACTCGGCCTAATTCCGTGATCTGTAGCTTCCAAAATTTAAAGAAAATGATATTTCGGAAAAATCGCCCGAAATCTGTGATGGTACCCGTTTGGAGTCTGCCAAAAATTAACCCGGAATAAATCCGTCCAAATCGGCGCTTAATGGACTTAATCATCGTTGAATCCATGATCTGTAGCCTTCAAAATCAAAAGAAGATGGTCTTTCCTCGCCTAAAAAATTACGAAAATTCCATCCGAAAAAAATTTGCTCCAAATCAGTGGTTAATGGACTTATCTTCCGTGGAGAATAGGATCAATATACTTCATTATCGATGGAGAATAGCCTAAGCCTGATTCCGTGATCTGCAGCCTCCAGAATCGAAAGATAATGGCATTTCATAAAAATCGCCCTAAATCTGTGATGGTACCGCTTTGGAATCTGGCAAAAATTTACCCGGAATAAATCCTCCCAAATCGGCGCTTAATGGACATAATCATCGTTGAAAAATAGCTTCAGGCCGAATCCGTGATCGGTAGCCTTCAAAATCCAAAGAAAATGGCCTTTCGTCGCCCAAAAAATTACGAAAAATGCCATCCGAAAATAAATTGCCCCAAATCGGTGGTTAATGGACTTATCTTCCGTGGAGAATAGGAACAATATACTTCATTATCGGCGGAGATTATCCTCGGCCTGATTCCGTGATCTGCAGCCTCAAGAATCGAAAGAAAATGGCATTTCGGAAAAATCGCCCTAAATCTGTGATGTTATCCCTTTGGAATCTGCCAAAAATTTACCCGGATTAAATCCTCCAAAATCGGCGCTTAAAGGACATAATCATCGTTGAAGAATAGCTTCAGGGAGAATCTGTGATCTGTAGCGTTCCAAATCCAAAGAAAATGGCCTTTCGTCGCCAAACAAATTACGAAAATGCCATACGAAAATAAATTGGCCCAAATTGATGCTTAATGCACTTATCATCCGTGGAGAATAGGATCAATAGACTTCATTATCAGTGGAGAATAGACTCGGCCTAATTCTGTGATCTGCAGCTTCCAAAATTGAAAGAAAATGACATTTCGGAAAAATCGCCCGAAATCTGTGATGGTACCCTTTTGGAGTCTGCCAAAAATTAACCAGGAATAAATCTGTCCAAATCGTCGCTTAATGGACTTAATGATCATTGAAGAATAGCCTCTGGCCGAATCCGTGATCTGTAGCCTTAAAAATCAAAAGAACATGGCCTTTCCTCGACCCAAAATTTATGAAAATTCCATCCAAAAATAAAGTGCCCCAAATCGGTGGTTAATGGACTTATCTTCCGTGGAGAATAGGCTCAATATACTTCATTATTGGTGGAGAATAGCCTCGGCCTAATTCCGTGATCTTCAACCTCCAGAATCGAAAGAAAATGGCATTTCGGAAAAATCACTCTAAATCTGTGATGGTACCCCTTTGGAATCTGCCAAAAATGGACTCGGAATAAATCGTCCCAAACGACGCTTAATGGACATAATCATCATTGAAGAATAGCTTCAGGCCGAATCCGTGATCTGTAGCCTTCAAAATCCACCGAAAATGGCCTTTCGTCACCCAAAAAATTACGAAAATGCCATCCGAAAATAAATTGGCCCAAATCGGTGCTTAATGGACTTATCATCCGTGGAGAATAAGATCAATAGACTTTATTATCGGTGGAGAATAGCCTCGGCCTGATTCCGTGATCTGCAACCTCCAGAATAAAATATTGACATTTCGGAAAAATCGCTAGAAATCTGTGATGGTACCCCTTTGCAATCTGCCAAAAATTTACTCAAAATAAATCTGCCCAAATGGGCCCTTAATGAACATAATAATCATTGAAGAATAGCCTCACGGCAAATCTGTGATATGTTGCCTTCAAAATCCAAAGAAAATGGCTTTTCGTCGCCCAAAAAATTACGAAAATGCCATCCAAAAATAAATTGGCCCAAATCGGCGCTTAATGGACTTATCATCCATGGAGAATAGGATCAATAGACTTCATTATCGATGGAGAATAGCCAAAGCCTGATTCTAGGATCTGCAGACTCCAGAATCGAAAGAAAATGACTTTTCAGAAAAACAGCCCGAAATTTGTGATGGTACCCCTTTGTAATCTGCCAAAAATTATAAATCCTGCCAAATCGGCGCTTAATGGACATAATCATCGTTGAAGAATAGCTTCAGGTCTAATATGTGATCTGTAGCCTTCAAAACCCAAAGAAAATGGCCTTTCGTCGCCCAAAAAATTACGAAAATGCCATTCGAAAATAAATTGGCCCAAATCGGTGCTTAATGGACTTATCATCCGTGGAGAATAGGATCAATAGACGTTATTGTCGGTGGAGAATAGCATCGGCCTGATTCCGTGATCTGCAACATCCAGAAAAAAAATAATGACATTTCGGGAAAATCACCAGAAATCTGTGATGGTACCCCTTTGTAATCTGCCAAAAATTGACTCAACATAAATCTGCCCAAATGGGCGTTTAATGGACATAATAATCATTGAAGAATAGCCTCGAGCCGAATCTGTGATCTGTAGCCTTCAAAATCCAAACAAAATGGCTTTTCGTCGACCAAAAAATTACGAAAATGACATCCAAAAATCAATTGGCGAAAATTGGTGCTTAATGGACTTATCATCCGTGGAGAATAGAATCAATAGACTTCATTATCGGTAGAGAATAGCCTCGACCTGATTCCGCAATCTACAGCCTCCAGAATCGAAAGAAAATACATTTTGGAAAAACGGACCGAAATATGTGATGGTACCCCTTTGGAATCTGCCAAAAATTGACCCGGAATAAATCTGCCCAAATCGGCGCTTAATGGACTTAATCATCGTTGAAGAAAAGCTTCATGCCGAAGCCGTGATCTGTCCCATCACAGATATCGGGCGATTTTTCCGAAATGCCATTTTCTCTCTATTTTGGAGGCTACAGATCACGGATTCAGCCCGAGGCTATTCTCCACATATAATGAAGTCTATTGATCCAATTCTCCAAGGACGATGAAGCCCATTAAGCACCGATTTGGGCGAATTTATTTTCGGATGGCATTATCGTAATATCTTGGGGGATATTTTTCGAAAGGCCCTTTTCCATTGGTTGTTGAAGGCTACTGATCACGGATTCGGCCTGAGGGTATTCTTCAACGTCGATTAAGTCCATTAAGGACCGATTTGAGCGGATTTCTTCCGGGTCCATTTTTGGCAGATTGCAGAGGGGTACCATCACAGATTTCAGGCGATTTTTCCGAAATGTCATTTTCTCTCTATTTTGGAGGATACAGATCACGGATTCAGCCCGAGGCTATTCTCCACATATAATGAAGTCTATTGATCCAATTCTCCAAGGATGATGAAGCCCATTAAGCACCGATTTGGATTAATTTATTTTCGGATAGAATTATCGTAATATCTTGGGGGATTTTTTTTGAAAGGCCCTTTTCCATTGGTTTTTGAAGGCTACTGATCACGGATTCGGCCTGAGGCTATTCTTCAACGTCGATTAAGTCTATTAAGGACCGATTTGGGCGGATTTCTTCCAGGTCCATTTTTGGCAGATTGCAAAGGGGTACCATCACAGATTTCGGGCGATTTTTCCGAAATGCGGTTTTCTCTCTATTTTGGAGGCTACATATCACGGATTCAGCCCGAGGCTATTCTCCACATATAATGAAGTCTATTGATCCAATTCTCCAAGGATGATGAAGCCCATTAAGCATCGATTTGGGCGAATTTATTTTCGGATGGCATTATCGTAATATCTTGGGGGATTTTTTTTCGAAAGGCCCTTTTCCATTGGTTTTTGAAGGCTACTGATCACGGATTCGGCCTGAGGCTATTCTTCAACGTCGATTAAGTCCATTAAGGACCGATTTGGGCGGATTTCTTCCGGGTCCATTTTTGGCAGATTGCAAAGGGGGGTACCATCACAGATTTCGGGCGATTTTTCCGAAATGCCATTTTCTCTCTATTTTGGAGGCTACAGATCACGGATTCAGCCCGAGGCTATTCTCAACATATAATGAAATCTATTGATCCAATTCTCCAAGGATGATGAAGCCCATTAAGCACCGATTTGGACGAATTTATTTTCGGATGGCATTATCGTAATATCTTGGGGGATTTTTTTCGAAAGGCCCTTTTCCATTGGTTTTTGAAGGCTACTGATCACGGATTCGGCCTGAGGCTATTCTTCAACGTCGATTAAGTCCATTAAGGAACGATTTGGGCGGATTTCTTCCGGGTCCATTTTTGGCAGATTGCAAAGGGGTACCATCACAGATTTCGGGCGATTTTTCCGAAATGCAATTTTCTCTCTATTTTGGATGCTACAGATCACGGATTCAGCCCGAGGCTATTCTCCACATATAATGTAGTCTATTGATCCAATTCTCCAAGGATGATGAAGCCCATTAAGCACCGATTTGGGCGAATTTATTTTCAGATGGCATTATCGTAATATCTTGGTGGATTTTTTTCGAAAGGTCCTTTTCCATTGGTTTTTGAAGGCTAGTGATCACAGATTCGGCCTGAGGCTATTCTTCAAGGTCGATTAAGTCCACTAAGGACCGATTTGGGCGGATCTCTTCCTCGAGTGAAGGTCAATGAGAGGGTGTCCCCCAATTGAATAATTCCTATTCCAGGTACTGAGACTTCTGAAAGCAAGGTCCTTTGTCCCATCTCAGCCTAAGCAGCAAGAATAAATTCGTAAGCGCCAGCAGCCAACTCCGGTGTGTCAGCTTAGTTATCCTCATCAAGCCACTTACTTGATGTCTAGCTTCCCAACTGGTAGACGGTTCCTTTTCCCCAGGATCAATGAAGAAGGGAGAAGTCTGTTGATTCTTCCGCGCTTTCATTCTTTATTTCAGACTGGAATCTTAATGCGATCTGAGAGCGGATCTCGGAATCCCCTGGTAGTGGTCCATTTTTGGCAGATTGCAAAGGGGTACCATCACAGATTTCGGGCGATTTTTCCGAAATGCCATTTTCTCTCTATTTTGGAGGCTACAGATCACGGATTCAGCCCGAGGCTATTCTCCACGTATAATGAAGTCTATTGATCCAATTCTCCAAGGATGATGAAGCCCATTAAGCACCGATTTGGGCGAATTTATTTTCGGATTGCATTATCGTAATATCTTGGGGGATTTTTTTTGAAAGGCCCTTTTCCATTGGGTTTTGAAGGCTACTGATCACGGATTCGGCCTGAGGCTATTCTTCAACGTCGATTAAGTCCATTAAGGACCGATTTTGGCGGATTTCTTCCGGGTCCATTTTTGGCAAATTGCAGAGGGGTACCATCACAGATTTCGGGCGATTTTTCCGAAATGCTATTTTCTCTCTATTTTGGAGGCTACAGATCACGGATTCAGCCCGAGGCTATTCTCCACATATAATGAAGTCTATTGATCCAATTCTCCAAGGATGATGAAGCCCATTAAGCACCGATTTGGGCGAATTCATTTTCGGATGGCATTATTGTAATATCTTGGGGCATTTTTTTTGAAAGGCCCTTTTCCATTGGTTTTTGAAGGCTACTGATCATGGATTCGGCCTGAGGCTATTCTTCAACGTCGATTAAGTCCATTAAGGACCGATTTGGGCGGAATTCTTCCGGTTTCATTTTTGGCAGATTGCAAAGGGGTACCATCACAGATTTCGGGCGATTTTTCCGAAATGCCATTTTCTCTCTATTTTGGAGGCTACAGATAACGGATTCATCCTGAGGCTATTCTCCACATAAAATGAAGTCTATTGATCCAATTCTCCAAGGATGATGAAACCCATTAAGCACCGATTTGGGCGAATTTATTTTCGGATGGCATTATCGTAATATCTTGGGGGATTTTTTTCGAAAGGCCATTTTCCATTGGTTTTTGAAGGCTACTGATCACGGATTCGGCATGAGGCTATTCTTCAACGTCAATTAAGTCCATTAAGGACCGATTTGGGCGGATTTCTTCCGGTTTCATTTTTGGCAGATTGCAAAGGGGTACTATCACAGATTTCGGGCGATTTTTCCGAAATGCCATTTTCTCTCTATTTTGGAGGCTACAGATAACGGATTCATCCCGAGGCTATTCTCCACATAAAATGAAGTCTATTGATCCAATTCTCCAAGGATGATGAAGCCCATTAAGCACCGATTTGGGCGAATTTATTTTTTGATGGCATTATCGTAATATCTTGGGGGATTTTTTTCCGAAAGGCCCATTTCCATTGGTTTTTGAAGGCTACTGATCACGGATTCGGCCTGAGGCTATTCTTCAACGTCGATTAAGTCCTATAAGGACCGATTTGGGCGGATTTCTTCCGGGTCCATTTTTGGCAGATTGCAAAGGGGTACCATCACAGATTTCGGTCGATTTTTCCGAAATGCCATTTTCTCTCTATTTTGGAGGCTACAGATCACGGATTCAGCCCGAGGCTATTCTCCACATATAATGAAGTCTATTGATCCAGTTCTCCAAGGATGATGAAGCCCATTAAGCACCGAGTTGGGCGAATTTATTTTCGGATGGCATTATCGTAATATCTTGGTGGATTTTTTTCGAAAGGCCCTTTTCCATTGGTTTTTGAAGGCTACTGGTCACGGATTCGGCCTGAGGCTATTCTTCAAGGTCGATTAAGTCCACTAAGGACCGATTTGGGCGGATCTCTTTCGGGTCCATTTTTGGCAGATTGCAAAGGGGTACCATCACAGATTTCGGGCGATTTTTCGAAATGCCATTTTCTCTCTATTTTTGAGACTACAGATCACGGATTCAGCCCGAGGCTATTCTCCACATATAATGAAGTCTATTGATCCAATTCTCCAAGGACGATGAAGCCCATTAAGCACCGATTTGGGCGAATTTATTTTCGTATGGCATTATCGTAATATCTTGGGGGATTTTTTCGAAAGGCCCTTTTCCATTAGTTTTTGAAGGCTACTGATCACGGATTCGCCCTGAGGCTATTCTTCAACTTCGATTAAGTCCATTAAGGAACGATTAGTGCGGATTTCTTCCGGGTCCATTTTTGGCAGATTGCAGAGGGGTACCACCACAGATTTCGGGCGATTTTTCCGAAATGCCATTTTCTCTCTATTTTGGAGGCTACAGATCACGGATTCAGCCCGAGGCTATTCTCCACATATAATGAAGTCTATTGATCAAATTCTCCAAGGATAATGAAGCCCATTAAGCACCGATTTGAGCGAATTTATTTTCGGACGGCATTATCGTAATATCTTGGGGGATTTTTTTCGAACTCCACATATAATGAAGTCTATTGATCCAATTCTCCAAGGATGATGAAGCCCATTAAGCACCGATTTGGGCGAATTTATTTTCGGATGGCATTATCGTAATATCTTGGGGGATTTTTTTCGAAAGGCCTTTTCCATTGGTTTTTGAAGGCTACTGATCACGGATTCGGCCTGAGGCTATTCTTCAACGTCGATTAAGTCCATTAAGGACCGATTTGGGCGGTTTTCTTCCGGGTCCATTTTTGGCAGATTGCAAAGGGGTACCATCACAGATTTCGGGCGATTTTTCCGAAATGCCATTTTCTCTCTATTTTGGAGGCTACAGTTCACGGATTCAGCCCGAGGCTATTCTTCACATATAATGAAGTCTATTGATCCAATTCTCCAAGGATGATGAAGCCCATTAAGCACCGATTTGGGCGAATTTATTTTCGGATAGCATTATCGTAATATCTTGTGGGATTTTTTTCGAAAGGCCCTTTTCCATTGGTTTTTGAAGGCTACTGATCACGTGTTCGGCCTGAGGCTATTCTTCAACGTCGATTAAGTCCATTAAGGAACGATTTGGGAGTATTTCTTCCGGGTCCATTTTTGGAAGATTGCAAAGGGGTACCATCACAGATTTCGGGCGATTTTTCCGAAATGCCATTTTCTCTCTATTTTAGAGGCTACAGATCACGGATTCAGCCCGAGGCTATTCTCCACATATAATGAAGTCTATTGATGCAATTCTCCAAGGATGATGAAGCCCATTCAGCAGCGATTTGGGCGAATTTATTTTCGGATGGCATTATCGTAATATCTTGGGGGATTTTTTTCGAAAGGCCCTTTTCCATTGGTTTTTGAAGACTACTGATCACGGATTCGGCCTGAGGCTATTCTTCAACGTCGATTAAGTCCATTAAGTACCGATTTGGGCGGATTTCTTCCGGGTCCATTTTTGGCAGATTGCAAAGGGGTACCATCACAGATTTCCGGCGATTTTTCCGAAATGCAATTTTCTCTCTATTTTGGAGGCTACATATCACGAATTCAGCCCGAGGCTATTCTCCACATATAATGAAGTCTATATATCCAATTCTCCAAGGATGATGAAGCCCATTAAGCACCGATTTGGGCGAATTTATTTTCGGATGGCATTATCGTAATATCTTGTGGGATTTTTTTCGAAAGGCCCTTTTCCATTGGTTTTTGAAGGCTACTGATCACGGGTTCAGCCTGAGGCTATTCTTCAACGTCGATTAAGTCCATTAAGGACCGATTTGGGTGGATTTCTTCCGGGTCCATTTTTGGCAGATTGCAAATGGGTACCATCACAGATTTCGGGTGATTTTTCCGAAATGCCATTTTCTTTCTATTTTGGAGGCTACAGATCACGGATTCAGCCCGAGGCTATTCTCCACATATAATGAAGTCTATTGATCCAATTCTCCAAGGATGATGAAGCCCATTAAGCACCGATTTGGGCGAATTTATTTTCGGATGGCACTATCGTAAAATCTTGGGGGATTTTTTTCGAAAGGCCCTTTTCCATTGGTTTTTGAAGACTGCTGATCACGGATTCGCCCTGAGGCTATTCTTCAACGTCGATTTAGTCCATTAAGGACCGATTTGGGCGGATTTCTTCCTGGTCCATTTTTGGCAGATTGCAAAGGGGTACCATCACAGATTTCAGGCGATTTTTCCGAAATGCCATTTTCTCTCTATTTTGGAGACTACAGATCACGGATTCAGCCCGAGGCTATTCTCCACATATAATGAAGTCTATATATCCAATTCTCCAAGGATGATGAAGCCCATTAAGCACCGATTTGGGCGAATTTATTTTCGGATGGCATTATCGTAATATCTTGTGGTATTTTTTTCGAAAGGCCCTTTTCCATAGGTTTTTGAAGGCTACTGATCACGGGTTCAGCCTGAGGCTATTCTTCAACGTCGATTAAGTCCATTAAGGACCGATTTGGGAGGATTTCTTCCGGGTCCATTTTTGGCAGTTTGTTAAGGGGTACCATCACAGATTTCGGGCGATTTTTCCGAAATGCCATTTTCTCTCTATTTTGGAGGCTACAGATCACGGATTCAGCCCTAGGCTATTCTCCACATATAATGAAGTCTATTGATCCAATTCTCCAAGGATGATGAAGCCCATTAAGCACCGATTTGGGCGAATTTATTTTCGGATGGCATTATCGTAATATCTTGGGGGATTTTTATCGAAAAGCACTTTTCCATTGGTTTTTGAAGGCTACTGATCACGGATTCGGCCTGAGGCTATTCTTCAACGTCGATTAAGTCCATTAAGGACCGATTTGGGCGGATTTCTTCCGGGTCCATTTTTGGCAGATTGCAAAGGGGTACCATCACAGATTTCAGGCGATTTTTCCGAAATTCCATTTTCTCTCTATTTTGGAGGCTACAGATCACGGATTCAGCCCGAGGCTATTCTCCACATATAATGAAGTCTATTGATCCAATTCTCCAAGGATGATGAAGCCCATTAAGCACCAATTTGGGCGAATTTATTTTCGGATGGCATTATCGTAATATCTTGTGGCATTTTTTTCGAAAGGCCCTTTTCCATTGGTTTTTGAAGGCTACTGATCACGGGTTCAGCCTGAGGCTATTCTTCAACGTTGATTAAGTCCATTAAGGACCGATTTGGGAGTATTTCTTCCGGGTCCATTTTTGGCAGATTGCAAAAGGGTACCATCACAGATTTCGGGCGATTTTTCCGAAATGCCATTTTCTCTCTATTTTGGAGGCTACAGATCACGGATTCCGCCCGAGGCTATTCTCCACATATAATGAAGTCTATTGATCCAATTCTCCAAGGATGATAAAGCCCATTAAGCACCGATTTGGGCGAATTTATTTTCGGATGGCATTATCGTAATATCTTGGGTGATTTTTTTCGAAAGGCCATTTTCCATTGGTTTTTGAAGGCTACTGATCACGGATTCGGCCTGAGGCTATTCTTCAACGTCGATTAAGTCCATTAAGGACCGATTTGGGAGGATTTCTTCCGGGTCAATTTTTGGCAGATTGCAAAGGGGAACCATCACAGATTTCGGGCGATTTTTCCGAAATGCCATTTTCTTTCTATTTTGGAGGCTACAGATCACGGATTCAGCCCGAGGCTATTCTCCACATATAATGAAGTCTATTGTTCCAATTCTCCAAGGATGATGAAGCCCATTAAGCACCGATTTGGGTGAATTTATTTTCGGATGGCATTATGGTAATATCTTGGGGGATTTTTTTCGAAAGGCCCTTTTCCATTGGTTTTTGAAGGCTACTGATCACAGATTCGGCCTGAGGCTATTCTTCAGCGTCGATTAAGTCCATTAAGGACCGATTTGGGAGGATTTCTTCCGGGTCAATTTTTGGCAGATTGCAAAGGGGAACCATCACAGATTTCGGGCGATTTTTCCGAAATGCCATTTTCTTTCTATTTTGGAGGCTACAGATCACGGATTCAGCCCGAGGCTATTCTCCACATATAATGAAGTCTATTGTTCCAAATCTCCAAGGATGATGAAGCCCATTAAGCACCGATTTGGGTGAATTTATTTTCGGATGGCATTATGGTAATATCTTGGGGGATTTTTTTCGAAAGGCCCTTGTCCATTGGTTTTTGAAGGCTACTGATCACAGATTCGGCCTGAGGCTATTCTTCAACGTCGATTAAGTCCATTAAGGACCGATTTGGGCGGATTTCTTCCGGGTCCATTTTTGGCATATTGCAAAGGGGTACCATCACAGATTTCAGGCGATTTTTCCGAAATGCCATTTTCTCTCTATTTTGGAGGCTACAGATCACGGATTCAGCCCGAGGCTATTCTCCACATATAATGAAGTCTATTGTTCCAAATCTCCAAGGATGATGAAGCCCATTAAGCACCGATTTGGGCGAATTTATTTTCCGATGGCATTATCGTAATATCTTGGGGGATTTTTTTCGAAAGGCCCTTTTCCATTGGTTTTTGAAGGCTACTGATCACGGATTCGGCCTGAGGCTATTATTTAACGTCGATTAAGTCCATTAAGGACCGATTTGGGATTATTTCTTCCGGGTCAATTTTTGGCAGATTGCAAAGGGGTACAATCACAGATTTCGGGCGATTTTTCTGAAATGCCATTTTCTCTCTATTTTGGAGGCTACAGATCACGGATTCAGCCCGAGGCTATTCTTCACATATAATGAAGTCTATTGATCCAATTCTCCAAGGATGATGAAGCCCATTAAGCACCGATTTGGGCGAATTTATTTTCGGATGGCATTATCGTAATATCTTGTGGGATTTTTTTCGAAAGGCCCTTTTCCATTGGTTTTTGAAGGCTACTGATCACGGGTTCGCCCTGAGGCTATTCTTCAACGTCGATTAAGTCCATTAAGGACCGATTTGGGAGGATTTCTTCCGGGTCCATTTTTGGCAGATTGCAAAGGGGTACCATCACAGATTTCGGGCGATTTTTCCGAAATGCCATTTTCTCTATATTTTAGAGGCTACAGATAACGGATTCAGCCCGAGGCTATTCTCCACATATAATGAAGTCTATTGATCCAATTCTCCAAGGATGATGAAGCCCATTAAGCAGCGATTTGGGCGAATTTATTTTCGGATGGCATTATCGTAATATCTTGGGGGATTTTTTTCGAAAGGCCCTTTTCCATTGGTTTTTGAAGACTACTGATCACGGATTCGGCCTGAGGCTATTCTTCAGCGTCGATTAAGTCCATTAAGGACCGATTTGGGCGGATTTCTTCCGGGTCCATTTTTGGCAGATTGCAAATGGGTACCATCACAGATTTCGGGCGATTTTTCCGAAATGCCATTTTCTCTCTATTTTGGAGGCTACAGATCACGGATTCAGCCTGAGGCTATTCTCCACATATAATGAAGTCTATTGATCCAATTCTCCAAGGATGATGAAGCCCATTAAGCACCGATTTGGGCGAATTTATTTTCGGATGGCATTATCGTAATATCTTGGGGATTTTTTTCGAAAGGCCCTTTTCCATTGGTTTTTGAAGGCTACTGATCACGGATTCGGCCTAAGGCTATTCTTCAACGTCGATTAAGTCCATTAAGGACCGATTTGGGCAGATTTCTTCCGGGTCCATTTTTGGCAGATTGCAAAGGGGTACCATCACAGATTTCGGCTAATTTTTCCGAAATGCCATTCTCTCTATTTTGGAGTCTATTGATCCAATTCTCCAAGGATGATGAAGCCCATTAAGCATCGATTTGTGCGAATTTATTTTCGGATGGCATTATCGATATATCTTGGGGGATTTTTTTCGAAAGGGCCTTTTCCATTGGTTTTTTAAGGCTACTGATCACGGATTCGGCCTGAGGCTATTCTTCAATGTCGATTAAGTCCATTAAGAACCGATTTGGGCGGATTTCTTCCGGGTACATTTTTGGCAGATTGCAAAGGGGTACCATCACAGATTTCAGGCGATTTTTACGAAATGCCATTTTCTCTCTATTTTGGAGGCTACAGATCACGGATTCAGCCCGAGGCTAGTCTCCACATATAATGAAGTCTATTGATCCAATTCTCCAAGGATGATGAAGCCCATTAAGCACCGATTTGGGCGAAGTTATTTTCGGATGGCATTATCGTAATATCTTGGGGTATTTTTTTCGAAAGGCCCTTTTCCATTGGTTTTTTGAAGGCTACTGATCACGGAAGGGCCTCTTCCGGGTCCATTTTAGGCAGATTGCAAAGGGGTACCTTCATAGATTTCAGGCGATTTTTTCGAAATGCCATTTTTCTCTATTTTGGAGGCTACAGATCACGGATTCAGCCCGAGGCTATTCTCCACATATAATGAAGTCTATTGATCCAATTCTCCAAGGATGATGAAGCCCATTGAGCACCGATTTGGGCGAATTTATTTTCTGATGGCATTATCGTAATATATTGGTGGATTTTTTTCGAAAGGCCCATTTCCATTGGTTTTTGAAGGCTACTGATCACGGATTCGGCCTGAGGCTATTCTTCAACGTCGATTAAGTCCATTAAGGACTGATTTGGGCGGATTTCTTCCGGGTCCATTTTTGGCAGATTGCGAATGGGTACCATCACAGATTTAGGGCGATTTTTCCGAAATGCCATTTTCTCTCTATTTTGGAGGCTACAGATCACGGATTCAGCCCGAGGCTATTCTCCACATATAATGAAGTCTATTGATCCAATTCTCTAAGGATGATGAAGCCCATTAAGCACCGATTTGGGCGAATTTATTTTTGGATGGCATTATCGTAATATATTGGGGGATTTTTTTCGAAAGGCCCATTTCCATTTGTTTTTGAAGGCTACTGATCACGGATTCGGCCTGAGGCTATTCTTCAACGTCGATTAAGTCCATTAAGGACTTATTTGGGCGGATTTCTTCCGGGTCCATTTTTGGCAGATTGCAAAGGGGTACCATCACATATTTCGGGCGATTTTTCCGAAATGCCATTTTCTCTCTATTTTGGAGGCTACAGATCACGGATTCAGCCCGAGGCTATTCTCCACATATAATGAAGTCTATTGATCCAATTCTCCTAGGATGATGAAGCCCATTAAGCACCGATTTGGGAGAATTTATTTTCGGATGGCATTATCGTAATATCTTGGGGGATTTTTTTCGAAAGGCCCTTTTCCATTTGTTTTTGAAGACTACTGATCACGGATTCGGCCTGAGGCTATTCTTCAACGTCGATTAAGTCCATTAAGGACCGATTTGGGCGGATTTCTTCCGGGTCCATTTTTGGCAGATTGCAAAGGGGTACCATCACAGATTTCAGGCGATTTTTCCGAAATGCCATTTTCTCTCTATTTTGGAGGCTACATATAACGGATTCAGCCCGAGGCTATTCTCCACATATAATGAAGTCTATATATCCAATTCTCCAAGGATGATGAAGCCCATTAAGCACCGATTTGGGCGAATTTATTTTCGGATGGCATTATCGTAATATCTTGTGGGATTTTTTTCGAAAGGCCCTTTTCCATTGGTTTTTGAAGGCTACTGATCACGGGTTCAGCCTGAGGCTATTCTTCAACGTCGATTAAGTCCATTAAGGACCGATTTGGGAGGATTTCTTCCGGGTCCATTTTTGGCAGTTTGCAAAGGGGTACCATCACAGATTTCGGGCGATTTTTCCGAAATGCCATTTTCTCTCTATTTTGGAAGCTACAGATCACGGATTCAGCCCTAGGCTATTCTCCACATATAATGAAGTCTATTGATCCAATTCTCCAAGGATGATGAAGCCCATTAAGCACCGATTTGGGCGAATTTATTTTCGGATGGCATTATCGTAATATCTTGGGGGATTTTTTTCGAAAAGCCCTTTTCCATTGGTTTTTGAAGGCTACTGATCACGGATTCTGCCTGAGGCTATTATTCAACGTCGATTAAGTCCATTAAGGACCGATTTGGGCGGATTTCTTCCGGGTCCATTTTTGGCAGATTGCAAAGGGGTACCATCACAGATTTCAGGCGATTTTTCCGAAATGCCATTTTCTCTCTATTTTGGAGGCTACAGATCACGGATTCAGCCCGAGGCTATTCTCCACATATAATGAAGTCTATTGATCCAATTCTCCAAGGATGATGAAGCCCATTAAGCACCGATTTGGGCGAATTTATTTTCGGATGGCATTATCGTAATATCTTGGGGGATTTTTTTGGAAATGCCCTTTTCCATTGGTTTTTGAAGGCTACTGATCACGGGTTCAGCCTGAGGCTATTCTTCAACGTCGATTAAGTCCATTAAGGACTGATTTGGGAGGATTTCTTCCGGGTCCATTTTTGGCAGATTGCAAAGGGGTACCATCACAGATTTCGGGCGATTTTTCCGAAATGCCATTTTCTCTCTATTTTGGAGGCTACAGATCACGGATCAAGCCCGAGGCTATTCTCCACATATAATGAAGTCTATTGATCGAATTCTCCAAGGATGATGAAGCCCATTAAGCACCGATTTGGGCGAATTTATTTTCGGATGGCATTATCGTAATATCTTGGGGGATTTTTTTCGAAAGGCCCTTTTCCATTGGTTTTTGAAGGCTACTGATCACGGATTCGGCCTGAGGCTATTCTTCAACGTCGATTAAGTCCATTAAGGACCGATTTGGGCGGATTTCTTCCGGGTCCATTTTTGGCAGATTGCAAAGGGGTACCATCACAGATTTCAGGCGATTTTTCCGAAATTCCATTTTCTCTCTATTTTTGAGGCTACAGATCACGGATTCAGCCCGTGGCTATTCTCCACATATAATGAAGTCTATTGATCCAATTCTCCAAGGATGATGAAGCCCATTAAGCACCAATTTGGGCGAATTTATTTTCGGATGGCATTATCGTAATATCTTGTGGGATTTTTTTCGAAAGGCCCTTTTCCATTGGTTTTTGAAGGCTACTGATCACGGATTCGGCCTGAGGCTATTATTCAACGTCGATTAAGTCCATTAAGGACCGATTTGGGAGGATTTCTTCCGGGTCAATTTTTGGCAGATTGCAAAGGGGTACCATCACAGATTTCGGGTGATTTTTCCGAAATGCCATTTTCTTTCTATTTTGGAGGCTACAGATCACGGATTCAGCCCGAGGCTATTCTCCACATATAATGAAGTCTATTGATCCAATTCTTCAAGGATGATGAAGCCCATTAAGCACCGATTTGGGTGAATTTATTTTCTGATGGCAATATCGTAATATCTTGGGGGATTTTTTCGAAAGGCCCTTTTCCATTGGTTTTTGAAGGCTACTGATCACGGATTCGGCCTGAGGCTATTCTTCAACGTCGATTAAGTCCATTAAGGACCGATTTGGGCGGATTTCTTCCGGGTCCATTTTTGGCAGATTGCAAAGGGGTACCATAACAGATTTCGGGCGATTTTTCCGAAATGCCATTTTCTCTCTATTTTGGAGGCTACAGATCACGGATTCAGCCCGAGGCTAGTCTCCACATATAATGAAGTCTATTGATCCAATTCTCCAAGGATGATGAAGCCCATTAAGCACCGATTTGGGCGAATTTATTTTCGGATGTCATTATCGTAATATCTTGGGGGATTTTTTTCGAAAGGGCCTTTTCCATTGGTTTTTGAAGGCTACCGATCACGGAATAGGCCTGAGGCTATTCTTCAACGTCGATTAAGTCCATTAAGGACCGATTTGGGCGGATTTCTTCCGGGTCCATTTTTGGCAGATTGCAAAGGGGTACCATCACATATTTCGGGCAATTTTTCCGAAATGCTATTTTCTGTGAATTTTGGAGGCTACAGATCACGGATTCAGCCCGAGGCTATTAATTCTCCACATATAATGAAGTCTATTGATCCAATTCTTCAAGGATGATGAAGCCCATTAAGCACCGATTTGGGCGAACTTATTTTCGGATGGCATTATCGTAATATCTTGGGGTATTTTTTTCGAAAGGCCCTTTTCCATTGGTTTTTGAAGGCTACTGATCACGGAAGGGCCTCTTCCGGGTCCATTTTAAGCAGATTGCAAAGGGGTACCATCACAGATTTCAGGCGATTTTTTCGAAATGCCATTTTTCTCTATTTTGGAGGCTACAGATCACGGATTCAGCCCTAGGCTATTCTCAACATATAATGAAGTCTATTGATCCAATTCTCCAAGGATGATGAAGCCCATTGAGCACCGATTTGGCGAATTTATTTTCGGATGGCATTATCGTAATATCTTGGGGGTTTTTTTTCGAAAGGCACTCTTCCATTGGTTTTTGTAGGCTACTGATCACGGATTCGGCCTGAGGCTATTCTTCAACGTCCATTAAGTCCATTAAGGACCGATTTGGGTGGATTTCTTCCGGGTCCATTTTTGGCAGATTGCGAAGGGTTGCCATCACAGATTTCAGGCGATTTTTCCGAAATGCCATTTTCTCTCTATTTTGGAGGCTACAGATCACGGATTCAGCCCGAGGCTATTCTCCACATATAATGAAGTCTATTGATCCAATTCTCCAAGGATGATGAAGCCCATTAAGCACCGATTTGGGCGAATTTATTTTCGGATGGCATTATCTTAATATCTTGGGGGATTTTTTTGGAAAGGCCCTTTTCCATTGGTTTTTGAAGGCTACTGATCACGGATTTGGCCTGAGGCTATTCTTCAACGTCGATTAAGTCCATTAAGGACTGATTTGGGCGGATTTCTTCCGGGTCCATTTTTGGCAGTTTGCAAAGGGGTACAATCACAGATTTTGGGCGATTTTTCCGAAATGCCATTTTCTCTCTATTTTGGAGGCTACAGATCACGGATTCAGCCCGAGGCTATTCTCCACATATAATGAAGTCTATTGATCCAATTCTCCAAGGATGATGAAGCCCATTAAGCACCGATTTGGGCGAATTTATTTTCGGATGGCATTATCGTAATATCTTGGTGGATTTTTTCGAAAGGCCCTTTTCCATTGGTTTTTGAAGGCTACTGATCACGGATTCGGTCTGAGGCTCTTCTTCAACGTCGATTAAGTCCATTAAGGACCGATTTGGGCGGATTTGTTCCGGGTCCATTTTTGGCAGATTGCAATGGGGTACCAACACAGATTCCAGGCGATTTTTCCGAAATGCCATTTTCTCTCTATTTTGGAGGCTACAGATCACGGATTCAGCCTGAGGCTATTCTCCACATATAATGAAGTCTATTGATCCAATTCTCCAAGGATGATGAAGCCCATTAAGCACCGATTTGGGCGAATTTATTTTCGGATGGCATTATCGTAATATCTTGGGGATTTTTTTCGAAAGGCCCTTTTGCATTGGTTTTTGAAGGCTACTGATCACGGATTCGGCCTGAGGCTATTCTTCAACGTCGATTAAGTCCATTAAGGACCGATTTGGGCAGATTTCTTCCGGGTCCATTTTTGGCAGATTGCAAAGGGGTACCATCACAGATTTCGGCCGATTTTTCCGAAATGCCATTTTCTCTCTATTTTGGAGTCTATTGATCAAATTCTCCAAGGATGATGAAGCCCATTAAGCATCGATTTGGGAGAATTTATTTTGGGATGGCATTATCGTAATATCTTGGGGGATTTTTTTCGAAAGGGCCTTTTCCATTGGTTTTTTAAGGCTACTGATGACGGATTCGGCCTGAGGCTATTCTTCAATGTCGATTAAGTCCATTAAGAACCGATTTGGGCGGATTTCTTCCGGGTACATTTTTGGCAGATTGCAAAGGGGTACCATCACAGATTTCAAGCGATTTTTCCGAAATGCCATTTTCTCTCTATTTTGGAGGCTACAGATCACGGATTCAGCCCGAGGCTAGTCTCCACATATAATGAAGTCTATTGATCCAATTCTCCATGGATGATGAAGCCCATTAAGCACCGATTTGGGTGAATTTATTTTTGGATGGCATTATCGTAATATCTTGGGGGATTTTTTTCGAAAGGGCCTTTTCCATTGGTTTTTGAAGGCTACTGATCACGGAATAGGCCTGAGGCTATTCTTCAACGTCGATTAAGTCCATTAAGGACCGATTTGGGCAGATTTCTTCCGGGTCCATTTTTGGCAGATGGCAAAGAAGTACCATCACATATTTCGGGCGATTTTTCCGAAATGCTATTTTCTCTGAATTTTGGAGGCTACAGATCACGGACTCAGCCCGAGGCTATTAATTCTCCACATATAATGAAGTCTATTGATCCAATTCTTCAAGGATGATGAAGCCCATTAAGCACCGATTTGGGCGAACTTATTTTCTGATGGCATTATTGTAATATCTTGGGGTATTTTTTTCGAAAGGCCCTTTTCCATTGGTTTTTGAAGGCTACTGATCACGGAAGGGCCTCTTCCGTGTCCATTTTAGGCAGATTGCAAAGGGGTACCATCACAGATTTCAGGCGATTTTTTCAAAATGCCATTTTTCTCTATTTTGGAGGCTACAGATCACGGATTCAGCCCGAGGCTATTCTCCACATATAATGAAGTCTATTGATCCAATTCTCCAAGAATGATGAAGCCCATTGAGCACCGATTTGGGCGAATTTATTTTCGGATGGCATTATCGTAATATCTTGGGGGATTTTTTTAGGAAGGCACTCTTCCATTGGTTTTTGTAGGCTACTGATCACGGATTCGGCCTGAGGCTATTCTTCAACGTCGATTAAGTCCATTAAGGACCGATTTGGGTGGATTTCTTCCGGGTCCATTTTTGGCAATTTGCGAAGGGGTACCATCACAGATTTCGGGCGATTTTTCCGAAATGCCATTTTCTCTCTATTTTGGATGCTACAGATCACGGATTCAACCGGAGGCTATTCTCCACATATAATGAAGTCTATTGATCCAATTCTCCAAGGATGATGAAGCCCATTAAGCACCGATTTGGGCGAATTTATTTTCGGATGCATTATTGTAATATCTTGGGGGATTTTTTTGGAAAGGCCCTTTTCCATTGGTTTTTGAAGGCTACTGATCACGGATTCGGCCTGAGGCTATTCTTCAACGTCGATTAAGTCCATTAAGGACCGATTTGGGCGGATTTCTTCCGGGTCCATTTTTGGTAGTTTGCAAAGGGGTACAATCACAGATTTTGGGCGATTTTTCCGAAATGCCATTTTCTCTCTATTTTGGAGGCTACAGATCACGGATTCAGCCTGAGGCTTTTCTCCACATATAATGAAGTCTATTGATCCAATTCTCCAAGGATGATGAAGCCCATTAAGCACCGATTTGGGCGAATTCATTTTCGGATGGCATTATCGTAATATCTTGGGCGACGAAAGGCCATTTTCCATTGGATTTGAAGGCTACAGATCACGGATTCGGCCTGAGGCTATTCTTCAACGATGATTAAGTCCATTAAGTGACCGATTTGGGCGGATTTATTCCGTGTCAATTTTTGGCAGATTGCAAAGGGGGTACCATCACAGATTTCGGGCGATTTTTCCGAAATGCCATTTTCTTTCGATTTTGGAGGCTACAGATCACGGAATCAGGCCGAGGCTATTCTCCACCGATAATGAAGTCTATTGATCCTATTCTCCACGGATGATAAGTCCATTAAGCACCGATTTGGGCCAAATTATTTTCGGATGGCATTTTCGTAATTTCTTGGGTCGATGAAAGGCCATTTTCCATTGGTTTTTGAAGGCTACAGATCACGGATTCGGCGTGAGGCTATTCTTCATCGATGATTAAGTCCATTAAGCACCGATTTGGGAGGATTTATTCCGGGTCAATTTTTGGCAGATTCCAAAGGGGTACCATCATAGATTTCGGGCGATTTTCCGAAATGCCATTTTCTTTCGATTCTGGAGTCTACAGATCACTAGAATCAGGCTGTGGGCTATTCTCCATCGATAATGAAAGTCTTATTGATCCTATTCTCCATGGATGATAAGTCCGATCAAGCACCGATTTGGGCCAATTTATTTTCGGATGGCATTTTCGTAATATCTTGGTCGGACGAAAGGGCCATTTTCCATTGGTTTTTTAAGGCTACTGATCACGGATTCGGCCTGAGGCTATTCTTCAACTATGAATAAGTCCATTAAGCACTGATTTGGGCGGATTTATTCCGGGTCACATTTTTGGCAGATTCCAAAGGGGGTACCATCACAGATTTTAGGGCGATTTTCCGAAATGCCATTTTCTTTCGATTTTGGAGGCTACAGATCACTAGAATCAGGCCGAGGCTATTCTCCACCGATAATGAAGTCTATTGATCCTATTCTCCATGGATGATAAGTCCATCAAGCACCGATTTAGGTCCAATTTATTTTTGGATGGCATTTTCATAATTTTTTGGGCGACGAAATGACATTTTCTTTGGATATTGGTAGGCTACAGATCACGGATTCGGCTTGAAACTATTCTTCAACGATGATTGATGTCCATTAAGCGCCAATTTGGGAGGATTTATTCCGGGTTAATTTTTGGCAGATTCCAAAGGGGTACCATCACAGATTTAGGGGCGATTTTTCCGAAATGCCATTTTCTTTCGATTCTGGAGGCTGCAGATCACGGAATCAGGAGGAAGCTATTCTCCGCCAATAATTTAGTATATTGATTCTATTCTCCACGTTGAAGATAAGTCCATTAACCATCTGATTTGGGGGCACTTTATTTTCGGATGGAATTTTCTTTATTTTCTTGGTGCGAGGAAAGGCCATCTTCTTTTTATTTTTAGGGCGACTAGATCACAGATTCTGCCCTGAGGCTATTCTTCAACGATGATTAAGTCCATTAAGTGCCAATTTGGACGGATTTATTCTGGGTCAATTTTTGGCAGACTCCAAAGGGGTACCATCACAGATTTCGGGCGATTTTTCATAAATGCTCATTTTCTATCAATTTTGGAGGCTGCAGATCACGGAATTAGGCCTAGTCTATTCTCCACTGATAATGAAGTCTATTAATCCTATTCTCCACGGATGATAAGTCCATTAAGCACCGATTTTGACAAATTTATTTTCGGATGAGCATTTTTCGTAATTTTTAGGGCGACGAAAAGCCATTTTCTTTGGATTTTGAAGGCTACAGATCACGGCTTCGGCATGAAGCTTTTCTTCAACGATGATTAAGTCCATTAAGCGCCGATTTGGGCGGATTTATTCCGGGTCAATTTTTGGCAGATTCCAAAGGGGGTACCAACACATATTTCGGGCGGTTTTTCCAAAATGCCATTTTCTTTCGATTCTGGAGGCTGTAGATCGCGGAATCAGGTCGAGGCTATTCTCTACCGATAATGAAGTCTATTGATTCTATTCTCCACTGATGATAACTCCATTAAGCACCAATTTGGGCCAATTGATTTTTGGATGGCATTTTCGTAATTTTTTGGGCGACGAAAGGCCATTTTCATTGGGTATTAAAGGCTACAGATCACGGATTTGGCCTGAGACTATTCTCCAACGATGATTGAGTCCATTAAGCACCGATTTGGGCGGATTTATACCGGGTCAATTTTTGGCAGATTCCAAAGGTGTACCATCACGATTTCGGGCGATTTATCCGAAATGCCATTTTCTTTCGATTCTGGAGGCTACAGATCACGGAATCTGGCCGAGGCTATTCCCCACCGATAATGAAGTCTATTGATCCTATTCCCCGTTGATGATAAGTCCGTTAAGCATCGATTTGGGCCAATATATTTTCGGATGGCATTTTCGTAGTTTCTTGGTCGACGAAAGGCCATTTTCTTTGGATAATGAATGCTACTAATCACGGATTCGCCCTGAGGCTATTCTCCAACGATGATTGAGTCCATTAAGCACCGATTTGGGCCGATTTATTCCGGGTCAACTTTTGGCAGATTCCAAAGGGGGTACCATCACAGATTTCGGGCTATTTATCCGAAATGCTATTTTCTTTTGATTCTGGAGGCTACAGATCACGGAATCATGCCGAGGCTATTCTCCACCGATAATGAAGTCTATTGATCCTATTCTCCACTGATGATAAGTCCGTTAAGCATCAATTAGGGCCAATTTATTTTCGGATGACATTTTCGTAATTTCTAGGGCGACGAAAGGCCATTTTCTTTGCATATTGAAGGCTACAGATCACGGATTCGACCTGAGGCTATTCTCCAACGATGATTGAGTCCCTTAAGCACAGATTTGGGCGGATTTATTCCGGGTCAATTTTTGGCAGATTCCAAAAGGGTACCATCACAGATTTCGGCGGTGATTTATCCGAAATGCCATTTTCTTTCGATTCTGGAGGCTACAGATAACGAAATCAGGCCGATGCTATTTTCCACCGATAATGAAGTCTATTGATCCTATTCTCCACGGATGATAAGTCCGTTAAGCATCGATTTGGGCCATTTTATTTTCGGAAGCCATTTTCGTAATTTCTTGGGCGACGAAAGGCCATTTTCATTGGATATTGAAGGCTACAGATCACGGATTTGGCCTGAGACTATTCTCCAACGATGATTGTGTCAATTAAGCACCGATTCTGGCGGATTTATTCCTGTTCAATTTTTGGTAGATTCCAATGGGGTACCATCACAGATTTCGGGCAATTTATCTGAAATGCCATTTTCTTTCGATTCTGGAGGCTACAGATCGAGGAATCAGGCCGAGGCTATTCTCCACCGATAACGAAGTCTATTGATCCTATTCTCCATGGATGATAAGTCCGTTAAGCATCGATTTGGGCCAAATTATTTTCGGATGACATTTTCGTAATTTCATGGGCGACGAAACGCCATTTTCATTGGATATTGAAGGCTACAGATCACGGATTCGGCCTGAGGCTATTCTCCAACGATGATTGAGTCCATTAAGCACCGATTTGGGCGGATTTATTCCGGGTCAATTTTTGGCAGATTCCAAAGGGGGTACCATCACAGATTTCGGGCGATTTATCCGAAATGCCATTTTCTTTCGATTATGGAGGCTACAAATCACGGAATCTGGCCGAGGCTATTCTCCACCGATAATGAAGTCTATTGATCCTATTCTCCGTGGATGATAAGTTCGTTAAGCATCGATTTGGGCCAATTTATTTTCGGATGGCATTTTCGTAATTTCTTGGGCGACGAAAGGCCATTTTCAATGGATATTGAAGGCTACAGATCACGGATTCAGCCCGAGGCTATTCTCCAACGATGATTGAGTCCATTAAGCACCGATTTGGGCAGATTTATACCGGGTCAATTTTTGGGAGATTCCAAAGGGGGTACCATCACAGATTTCGGGCGATTTATCCGAAATGCCATTTTCTTTCGATTATGGAGGCTACAAATCACGGAATCTGGCCGAGGATATTCTCCACCAATAATGAAGTCTATTGATCCTATTCTCCGTGGATGATAAGTCCGTTAAGCATCGATTTGGGCCAATTTATTTTTGGATGGCATTTTCGTAATTTCTTGGGCGACGAAAGGCCATTTTCTTTGGGTATTGAAGGCTACAGATCACGGATTCGCCCTGAGGCTATTCTCCGACGACGATTGAGTCCATTAAGCACCGATTTGGGCCGATTTATTCGGGGTCAATTTTTGGCAGATTCCTAAGGGGTACCATCACAGATTTAGGGCGATTTATCCGAAATGCCATTTTCTTTCGATTCTGGAGGCTACAGATCACGGAATCAGGCCGAGGCTATTGTCCACCGATAATGAAGTCTATTGATCCTATTCTCCAAGGATGATAAGTCCGTTAAGCATCGATTTAGGCCAAATTATTTTCGGATGGCATTTTCTTAATTTTCAAAAGTCCATTTTCTTTGGATAGTGAAGGCTACAGATCACGAATTCGCCCTGAGGCTATTCTCTAACGATGATTGAGG